AGTTGAGCGAATCTGATTTCAGAGAAATATTAAGGTACTTTTTTGTCTAACATATTTTTTTAGCAAACAAAACAAGTTTGAAGACTTGTTATTGTAACCCCAAAATAAAAGCAAATGTTCAGTTAATTGCGCCCTCTATCAGACATACTAAAATTGCTGACAGTAAAGGCCAGTTCAGTCGAAGCAGATGTAGAAGGCAAAGTCCAAGAAAATCCTACTTGAAGGAATTTTGCGACTCATAGCAACTTCTTACAGACTGTTTCTGCGCATCATAATTTTTTTTAAAAACTGGTCATCATGTCTGCTAGATTTCACCTAGAGGGTTGCTTTGAATCGTACGTTTGTGTGTCTGTTTGCATGTAATATTTATATTTAATACCAACGTAATATTCTTTGGTGTGTAAATGTCTAATTAATATGGTTACAGTCAGGGTCTATGAATAAGTTATACCAATTGCCAAATTTATAAAGAAATTGTAATTTGTTAAAAAAAGAAAATAGTTCTGAATGTTATTTCATACATGTTGAAATGCCATGCATTTGTAGCTATGAGTTTTCAACAGAAGATTATACATCTCACAAACATAAATGATTGAAATGAAAAAACTTTTAGATTACCTGGACGAATCTATGTTTTGAACTGAGTACCGCAGAATATTTGTCATGCCATTGAAAATTACCGTGTTTTTAGCTCCGCTGTCGACTTTGTCGAGCGGATGATATCTTCAATTCTCTAATTTTGATGAATTTTTTTTTCATTCTTGGTGGATAGTGATATTTTCGACTTCTTGTTAAAAACCGCAAGTCCGATTGCTTTGTTACGGTATTTATTACATGTGGAGCTCTCTCAGATTTGTTAATTTCGTGATATTTTCAATTCTCTATAAATATTGATGAATATTTTTGTCATTTTTGGTATTAAAAGTAATATTTTCAAATTCTTGTTGAAAAAAAGCGAGTCTGATTGCTTTGATACTATACATATTGTTCATTTTCTAATGATATCTTCAGTTCTTTAATTGAAATGTGTATTGCTTACAGCGGAGCTGTCTCAGCCGACAGGCTGCTTGTTTTTAGCTCCGCTGTCGACTTTGTCGAGCGGAGCTTATCATATGAGTGATTGTCCGTCTCCGTCGTCGTCGTCCGTGTCAATGTTTTACTTT